CCATCACCAAACAAGACAATTTCAAGTGCAATCCTCAGAGACTGCATTCCATAAAGGACGCCCTTTACTGGAGAAGTGAGTCTGCAACCTTTTCCTCCTATGCAAAACCAAAAATTCTAATTTCCCACTGAGCCTGAACTAACCGCAGTGTCTTCCCCTCACCTTTCAGTCTCTGTTGAGCAGTGCTCAGAGCACCTTTATTCCAAATAAACCTGTTTAAACCTTTCCCTGGTCTCTCTGTTTGGTCTTCTGCATCTTGGGGTCAGACCTTTAAAATTAAATCATGACACATACAATGTAGTCTAGTACTCTATTATAATCTAAGGGTAAGAAGAAGTACTTTTAGTAGTGTATTCACATTATTTACAGAGACCTGGATAAATATCTGGTTGCACGTGAACAAAATGAGCTGATGTTACAGATTGTGCTTGTGGCACATATCAGGTTGTGAAGTCATGCATCAGAGTAGAAGTAAGAACCTTTTCACACAGAAGAAACAGTAATAGACTTTGGCAAAAAGCAAGCTTTCAAGATCATGAAAAAAACTAAACCCTAAACTGAAACATCTACATGCTTGTGGTTAGTGCAGAGCAGAATAAGAGGTAAAATCAAAACAGCAATTTAAGTAAAAAAAATATATATATATCACAATTTTGATTAATGGCAAAATTCAGCCCTACCTGATACAGAAAAAAATTCTAACAGATTAATACTGCCACTAAGATTTTCTATGATAAGCATCATGTTTAAGGTGATGGGGAGTTTGTTTTTTTTCTGTTACACATACCATTTTGCTGTAACAACAAAATATTCAGGTTTTGTTTAATCTGACCTGATGAAACAACTACTCTCACAGCTTTGTGTTCATATTGTCAATATTTCTGCAGAGCACTGTAAACCTAAACTTTGTATTCACCATTTCCATATACCTGATAGGCCCATATTTACAGCATTTTGGAACAGTTACCCTGCAGCTTCCTCCTTACAGAAACTAAAATGGTCTCAATACCACCTCTGTCTTGTGAAGAGCAGAACAAGCTTGGCTCTGTTTCTTTTTCCCTGTACTGGGCGCTACCTTCTCTGCTGTTTCCTGCAGGGCAAGAGCTACATGCAAGCTGCTGCATTGAGACTCAATTCTAAAGCAAATAAAGCCACCAAATACAGTAATGGCAAAACCTCTTAGATTGAACTTATCAAGAATGATATTCAATGTCAATATTTCAAATATTTTGCAATATCTTTAACCTGAAATTGTGATTTAGCAGGGACTACTTAGGTATGCTCGCAGTGGCAATGCTTTCTCACATGATATACCATACACATAGCTAAACTATATAAAAAAAATAGCACACTTCTACAACTCAGAAATTCTGCACAAATTTGAGGAATGTGCCTAAGGGCTGAAAAACACTATGCAATAGGAAGCGGAAACGGCAGTCTGGAAATTATGTGAAAACAATAGAGTAGCGCTGTGACTTGCAGAGTGTGTAAACAGTCACATAAAAAAAAGAAAAAACTGGCAAAGAAAGAAGTGCCTTTAGGATTCCAGTCATAGGCCGAACCAGGAAACATGACAGGTCATAGTTACAGGTCATCTATGTGAGCCTGTAGACAGAATGTGTGAAATGGGTTGGTGTGCAAACAAGATGCAGAAAATAAACAGATGATGTTTGCAGAGTGAAATAAAAGCAAGATGTAAATTTGTTTAAGCTACTGTTTTTAGGACAGTTTTTTGGTATATTTACTAACCCTCGGAGGACCAACAGGCTTTTAGGGGACTGAATGCTGGTCCTAATGTGGCGGACCCCCATTTGTGACCTTAGAGAATCAGTTTAGAGATCATGTAGAGAGCGTGTAAATGAAATTTAGGGCCCTGTCACATCTTGCAGATTTAGATAGCGCATGCCTGATGTCCCAGAATCCCCTAAAACGCTGTCATATGCTGGACTTTCTATGTATTTTTTTTTTTTCAATTTTGGGCGTATACATAGCGTATTCATAACAAGACAAGAACTTATGTCCAATGACATACTAACTTATGCACAACGCTTAGCATCAGTGAAAGCTGCTCCCCTCAGTTAGGGTAGAGAAAAATAGGAACATACTGATAATGGTTAGAGTAAATGTAAGGGTTAGGCATAAATGGAGTAAAATGAGTTTAGGTCAATAAGTCTTAATCCTGATAGAAAAACAAACTAGTGTGTGTGTGTGCTCTTGTTTTTAAAACAAGAGCACACACACACACAAGGTGCCAAACACAAGGTGGTTTAGGTTAGGGTTAGGTAGGAACCCATAATGTTTAGTGTTAGGGTTATACTGTAGAAATTAATGGAAGTCATTGAAAAGGCCCCACAAAGATAATGAGGCAAGTTTTAGGCCATAGGCTGAAGCCTGTATCGTTCAGGTTCGCTCCACCTATTTAGGGACTACTAAATGACACCTACAATAAAATCCTAAGTGCATTTTGAGCCCATAACCAAAAGTTCTCCAATCGCTTTGCGCCAGTATTTTTACAATAATTACTTAAAAGTGTAACTATATCGGTAGCCTGATCACAGCATTAATCTATGCTCGAATCAATCCGCCTAGCCGTTAGCCAATCAGAGCGCGTCCTTCAGGTACGCCCTCCCACTTCAGAAGCGGAGAGAGATGAACAACAACAAACATGGCGTCTCCCATGGAGCAGAGTGTTCCCGTTGGATCAGACAGAAAACGCAAGAAAAATGTGGATTATAAATGCATCACACACATATCATCGGTAGACAAAGAACGGACACAGCCACTAACAGTTGTTCGTTGGAAGAAGCTGGTTGTATGTGCCCGTAAGTGGCTAGAAATTGACGGAATCGACCGCACGTTGGCGGAGGCTGTATGTGTACACGATGAGTCCGCCAGAAATAACAATGACGATTCCACGTCAGCCCTGGCTTGTCCAGACGAAAATCTTTCTAGATTCTTGGAGGTAAACAAACTTGGTTTTCATCCAACTTGTTATAGGCGTTTCATTGATAAGAAACGAATTGCCAGTGCTGAAAAACTAGCAGTAAAACGGGGAGCATGTGGTGGTGACAACAATGGTTCTGATTCTGATCACGAGTCTTCCACAACCACGTCCACGACTAGCCGGCCACCATCTCCAAAACGGTTGAGATCCACGACTAAATCATCGAGCTCTGGCAATGTACTTCCTGCTGTCTGTATAATTTGCAAGAGGGCTGACCGCTTTGTGAAAGAAGGACACAAGACAAAGAAAGATAAATTGGTCCAAGCAGAAACTATAAATGCTGGTGAGTAGACAATTTGCAGACTGCATCTTTGTTTGTGGCTTCTAACCAAAAGCAAAAGTAATACATTTGTTGGTAAAAAAAATAAATGCATGTGTAATTGGTGCCAGCCCAAGCCTGCTCTTTTCATTGTGAAGTAAGCTTATGAAGGCTATGTGTAGGGCCTCAAAAATAATAAAAGGCATTATTATGAACTTGAAGTGATGATAGGCAATTAATTCATTTGTCAAATAATGGTTAGATTTTAAATTTGTCACCCAACTACCAGTTCAGTCTCGTAAAACAGAGAAAAAGTATTTGATATTATTTGTTGGCAGCTGGTTTATGATTGAACTTTTTTAACTCTCTCTTTACTAGGGAGTTTGGTTAAAGCAGCTGAACTGAAAATGGACGAATCCATCCTCAAGGATGTACGTGGAAAAGATTGTGTCGCAATTGAAGTGCGGTACCACAAACGGTGCTACAAAGAATATACAAGATTTCTGGGGGCTACAACAAGTGATGAAAGGTAAATTTCAGATAATTCAAGTAGAATATTTATGAAATACAAATACTTGAGAGTGAACCATATATTGATGGTAGGGTTACATTCTGGGGTTAAACATTTTTAAAAGTTGATTATTCTTACAAATGAAGCCCAGTTAGTAGAGAAATGATAAAAATTTGGATGCAGTTTTACATAAAACATTTTAACCATAAATCTGTATGAAATGAGATATTCTATCAATGTTAATTTTAAGATTGAGTGAGCATTTTAACTAATCTGTATTTTGTATTGTTTCACACAGGATGCCAAAAGCCTGGGAGTATGCCACTGTGTACACAGAATTTTGTGACAAAATAATTTGGGGACAGTTGATTAAAAAACAGGAAATCTTCAGGATGAAAAAGCTCTCTACCCTGTTCCAGAAAATGATACGAGAACACCATGGTCATGGAAGTTACAGGTAATTATGATTCATTAATAGATTTTGATATTATTCACATCAGGGCTGCGCAGTGGGTAGCCCTGTTGCCACTGTTGTCCTGGGTTCAAATCCAACCCTGGGTCTTTGTGCATGGAGTTTGCATGTTCTCCCTGAGCATGGATGGATTATTCACATCAGCATATATTTATTATTCCTTGTAAATTTTTTACAGATCAGATCTTCTGAAGAAAAGACTGAGGCAAGACTTTCCCCAACTAAATTTCTACAAGCCTCCGAGGAAAAACCTAAGTGAAATGGTTTTTACAGAAGCTACAGGACTTCTCAACAAGGGTACATCTACTGAAACTGAGTCATCAGGATCGCAAGAGACTTTGTCGAGTGGTGGAGAGACAGTTCAGGAAAGTGGTACATATGCAGCACAACAAGACCGTACCAGAATCATTTATAGTGCAGGTATAATTCTTAAACAAGCAGTTAAGAGTGCCCCTAACATGAGTGCCAATTGGCCTCCTACATCTGAGGATCTAAATATTTCCTCAGCTAGAAAGATTGTGCCAATTGAACTGTATAATTCACTTGCTTGGTGCATAGGTGTAAGTGATGAGTTGACATTATCTAACATGGTAAATGTATCGGAGGAGGTTGATCTTCGTTTATTGTCAATCTGCCAAGATATTATTTATTTATCCTCAAAAGGTAGAAATCAAACCCCAAAATCTCTAACACTTGGTTTAACTCTGCGCCACTTGACAGGGTCATTTCAGGTTGTAAACCTGGTAAGTAAACTTGGTCACTGTGCCTCTTGGGAATCTGTAGTAGGTTTGGAGACGAGTCTTGCTCAGCTTCAGTTGTCCAGAGGTTTGGATCTCCCACAAGGGTTTGCCAGTAATAACTTTACTGTTCTAGTGTGGGACAATATAGATTTTGGAGAGGAAACATCATCGGGGAAGGGTACCACCCATCACACTAATGGAATCATGATTCAGAGAAAGTATTCTGAGACTCTAATTCCCCAGGCTCAAGTGGAGGTAAAAAAAGGTGTAAGGTCCTTAAAGCCCCAGGAATTGGTCCTTGAAGTATATCGTCGTAGACCAAGGCAAGGTCCAGGCAGTGTGACTGATAAGTCGAAGGATTCTGAAGATATTCATGTGGAAAACCTTAGGTTGTCCAAATCGTTAGACTTTGCTTACATTTTGTCAAAGTTCACTACCTGTGCTTTGGGCATTATTCCAGGTTGGACAGGGTTTAATATAGCCTTGACCAAAGGTCAGACTTGTGAAAAATCTGTGATCTATTACCTTCCAGTTATCGAAGCCTCTCCAACAGAAATGACAACAGTCAATACAATTCTAAAGAGAAGTATTGAGAGAGCGGACCAGTTACAACTTCCCCACATTGTTCTTGTCTTTGACTTAGCAATATATGCAAAGGCACAAGAGATACGCTGGCTTGACGATGATATCCAGAAAAGGGTTGTGATCCGTCTTGGTGAGTTTCATACATGCATGTCTTTCTTAGGAATGATCGGGAAACGGTTTGGTGATGCAGGGCTATCTGATTTGTTAGTAGAAGCAGACATTGTTGCAAAAGGTTCGGTGAATGGAGTAATTTCAGGCCATCACTATAACCGTAGTATTAGAGCTCACAAGCTTCTATATGAGGCATTACAGCGCCTGCGATTTGCTAACTTTGTCGCCTCATTACCTGATGAAGAATCAGAAAGGATAAATCAAGTCATGGAAACTTTGAAAACATCATATCATTTGTCGCCTATGTCGGTTTTTGATCTCATCCAGGCTGAAGATTTCCAAGATATCATGAGTTGTTATCAGAAGTATGTTGATACTAAGAGTGAATCTAGTCCTACATTTGCACTTTGGAGTTCTTATCTAGATATTGTCCAGGTATTACTTAGCTTTATCAGAGCAACCAGAGAGTCCAATTGGAATTTGCATATTTCCACTCTAAAGTATATGCTTCCATGGTATTTTGCATATGACCACATAAACTATGCCAGGTATCTTCCAGTTTATTGGCTTGAAATGATGAACTTGTCAGACACCCACCCTGCATGCTATGAAGAAATCTCTGAGAAAAGAAATTGGACTGTTCAACGCCAAGATGCATATGGATTTTCATCCATTGCATGTGATCAGGCTATCGAACAGACATGCAACCGTGACACCAAAACTAGTGGTGGGCTGAAAGGTATCACACTGAATAGAGGAGCAACTCAGAGATGGGTTCTTGCACAACCCCATCGTGCTGCCATAACACGACAGTGTGAATCAATGGCCGGTCTCAGTCACGAGACAAGGAGCTCCAAAGAACTTGACCTGTCTCGGATGAAAAAGAATGAGAGTGACATCAGATCTATAATAGATTCTGTTGACAGCATGATCAACCCATTCGAGTACCAAGGAATGGATCTTGTGTGTCTGAGTTCAGGGGCAGTTGCTACAGAGGAAATAAAGACAGACCTCCTTGCAGCAAAACTTAAGGGTGAGATGGCTGTTGATCAGTATATCTCGGAGCGCTTGGTCACAAACAAAACAGATGTGTTCAGACCTCTGAAAATGATGAAGCTGAAGACCTTCAAAGACCTCCAGAAAAAGCCATCCAAAAAGTCATCTAAAGACTCTGATGTGAAGAATGATCGAAACATATTTGCTAGGCTACTTATTATTGGTCAAAATAGCAAGGTAGATCTACATGAAATCCTGTCTTATTCTCTTGGGCCAGTTTCATATCCTCTTGCAGCTGATGATGGCACAAAACTTGCCAAGACTAACAAAGCAGCTCTTCTAAATTTTATAGAAGAAAAGGTGACAGACTGTCTATTTGATGGAAAGCCAGATGATGCAGCACTGATGATTGATGGAATGGCAGTTTTGCAGTCTGTTAGCTCTGTTCCGAGCACATTTGGTGAGCTAGCTGATAGAATACTCCAGGTTGTCATTAGCCTTGCTTGTAAGTATAGCTGCAGGCGAGTTGACTTTGTTACTGACCGTTACCCTACTATTAGCATAAAAAATATTGAGCGATCACGGCGAAGCTCTTCAGGGACCCAAAAAACAAGTATATACAGCAAAGATCAGAAAACTCCAAAACAGTGGAATAAATTCTTATCAGATGGTGACAACAAAGAATCCCTAGTGGAGTTTCTTTTCTCTGTATGGAAGGATGCTGATCTCAGTTCGCTAAAGCAGGACATTGCCATTTTTGTGGCTCATGGAAAGGATTGCCATCTGTTGAGGTATGTTGGTGGTAAAGTTAATCTGTCTGTTGTACCGGAGCTGACTTTATGTGACCACGAGGAAGCAGACACCAGGCTTTTACTACATGCTAATCATGCTGCTAAGACGTTTAGCTCTGTCATTATCAGAAGTCCTGATACAGATGTTGCAGTTATCGCTATTTCTCTGAAGTCTTGTTTGCCTGCTCACTTGAATCTGTTCTTCTTAACCGGTACGCAACAGCATACGCGTATGATTGATATCGGCAGAGTTGCTTCTTTTCTAGGTGTTAAGATAAGTGAAGCATTAATTGGGCTCCATGTTTTTACAGGCTGTGATTCAGTCAGTGCTTTCTTTGGCAAGGGAAAGAAAAAGGCTTTGGAATTACTGATGAAAGAAGAGAGATTCTGTGATGCTTTTATCAAACTAGGTCATAGTTTTGATTTGGAAGACAGATGTAGTTCTGAACTGGAAAGGTTTGTTTGCCATTTATATGGTCAGCAGGTGTCAAATGTGAATGAAGCACGGTACAACCTATTTTGCGTGTCTTCTCCTTCAGAGAAGCTTTTGCCTCCTACAAAAGATGCCCTCTACCAGCACAGCTTGCGAGCCAATTATCAAGCAGCTATTCACCGGAGATCGCTTGAGCAACAGATCTGCGCTCCTTCTCCTGAGAGTCATGGCTGGATTTTAGAAGGTTGGGCATTGTCTATAAAGTGGATGACTATCGCTGCGGCCCCAGATGTGGTTCTTAAAACATCTCGCTGTTCTTGTAAAGTCGGAAAATGTTCTCAGGGTAAATGCTCCTGTTTAAAAGCAAAAGTCTCTTGTTTCTTTTCCTGCAAATGTGTGGACTGTGAGAACCGTAATGCTACACCTGATGAATTGTCTCTCCAGACATCGGAGAGCATTGATGAAATGCCAGACTCTGAATCAGATGAAAGTGATTTTGATTATTCATAATTTCTTTGTGTTTTCTATTGTAATTCTGAAGTCGTAGCAACCTGAAGTGATCCTAAAAAGTTTAACATCTCATTGTTTAAAAACAGAAATGTCTTTGTGCCTAGTTTTCATTGTTCAAATTTTAGCTGTGTTTCAGTTGTTTCCTAAAATTTTGCTTTCAATATTGTAACTGGTCTGCTAGGTGATAAAATTAACACCACTTTTCATAGTTATTAGTTAACCAGACACAAAAGGATATCTTGCTATTAGAGTTTTTCAATTGAAAATTCAAAGAATTGCAGTTTTCATGTGCAATAAAGATATATTTTGGGAGATGTGAAATTGTTAAAAAGTGTGTTTTTTCATTTAGAATAACTGATTACATAAAGCACGCAGAACATTGCCGCTTTATAAGCTCTGAGTAAGTATGAATGTCTGTGGGAATCAAAATTCTGAGTCCGATCGCCTTAATAATAAAAAAGTTACAAGGGTTTGAAAATGCTAGAAGACCCAAATTTGTCACTTTTTCGGGTAAACTGCCACCTTTGGCACCCATTTTCTCAAATACTGGCAGGAATCCTATGGAGAACTTTTTTTCCCAGCTCGAGTACATATTTAAGATTAGAAAACTGCTTTCGAAAAGTAGTCCCCAGGTTAGTGGAGCGAAATCCTATTTCTAGCCTCATTTTGAGCTTCAGCCTATGGCCTATTTGTGTCTGTGTGTGTGTGTGGCTGTACGTGTCGAGCCCTTATTCACCATCAGATTGAAGACCAGGTGTTGCAAAGTGAGGACATTTTGCTGGTCCTCGCTATTTTGCTAATGGTTAGGTTTAGGGCTAAGGTGTAATTGGGTTAGGTTAGGGTGAGGTATGGACTGGTAATGGTTAGGTTTAGGGTTAGGGCATAGAAAGGGTTGAAAATCAATGGAAGTCAGTGGAAGTCAACACATGGTCCTCACTAAATATAGCAGAACGAGTAGGGGTGTGTGTGTGTATGTGTGTGTGTGTGCAGGCCAGGCTAAATCATCCTCGGTATCAGACCTTGAGCTGTTGTTGTCTCAGCCTCTCATCCTCCTTTTCTCTCCTGGCTTTGTCTTGCTCTTCCTGTAACCGGCGCTTCTCCTGGAAATGGACAAAAAATACAGCAGAGGCAAATACTTAAAAGTTCAGACTCCAAAGACCATAAGACTGTGATTAACCATAACTTCCCTGCTTACGCTGAAGACTTTATGAAGTCTTAATAAAGTATTTCTTTCTTTTATAGTACACAGATTCAAAATAGATTTTCGGTCAATTTGTATCATTTTTAATTAGCCTAAAACATGTACAGTTTTGATAATGCAAGAGATTCTTAATTATGAAATGAAGACAGAAAACTAATCTAAACCCAAACTGATTTTATTTGTCAGCACATTTATGTTTGGCATTTCAAGCTGAGGGATTGTTTTGTTTTTGTTTCTTATGCGGGAGGGGTGGGGGCTCTAGCTCCTTTCAAGCTGGTTGGCTTCTGCTGCTGCGCAGCGTTCCTGTGAGCCAGCTACAGATGGAGGTCTGCTCTTTCACCAAATCATTCAAACAAATGAATAGAGCTGCTTTAATAGCAGCTAGTTACTCTGGACTCAGAGTGTTTTTGTTTGTCTTCCTCCGTTTTCCATCACGCTTTTCATCGCTCATTTTAAGGTGTTTGCCTAATGGCTTGAAGGCTTTGCCTCTTTGGTTCTTTTTTGCTGTCTCTCCCCTCCCCAAACATTTCTAATGACCAGCTACTATGCCAATGGGAGTCTGACGCTTTTTGAAGGTTCCAGGAGACATAGCTTTCTCTGACTGTAAGATACATGCAGGTCAGTGTATTATTTAGTCATTTGATTTTCACATCTTTTCTTGGTCTTGGAAAAATTAAACAAAATGCAAAACTATGGAGCCAAATCAGTCTTAAATTTTCACAAATACACATATGTGATTCATACATGCACAAGCTCCACAAACAC